TTACAAACAGCATTAAATGACTCTGCATCAGCCAGCCTGAAAATACTGCAGAGAGCATGTCCAGATTCAGAGAGACTAAAAACTAACTCCTGCCAGGGTATTAAACATTTTTTAGTGTCTCCATACACCTTTCTAAACAGAAAATCATCCTCTATCTTCTCCCTTCACAAATAATTATTAGAGTGCATTAAGAAAACTGGCTCCAAACTCCTTTCAATCTATTGTTCTCATCTTAATTCATTTCCCATTTATGTCCTATTCCCTTGTGGACTCAGAACCTACTCCCAAGAAAAGAGGGTGAACTTCAAAATAACAGCTCACTGGAAATGCTGCTGGTGCAGCAAAGAATGTGTTGTCATGCCTGCTAAAAGAAAAAAAAGGCAAAGCACAATTTTCAAGGATTGAGCAACAATAGGGGTAACTAAATGAAGGGACAATTACTGGGATACAAAACTTGTCATCTCCATGTCAAAATTTGACTCAGGTGGATAGTGAGTAAACAATGTTGGGCCCATGTGCACCAAAGGAGATAGGCGCCTACGTCCCTGTTTTAGGTGCCTAAGTCCCAGTTTTGGGACGACTGTGATATACAAAACTCCTGCAGAACCCTGTAGGCACCTAAACTCACTCGATGCCTACATTTTTGCAGTAGAAGTTCCCTAGGTGCCTATGTTTCTGGCTCTGGGCATGTGCACAACACCTCACTCTAGGCATCTCCCACCAAAGCCCCAGAGCGATTCACAAACCAGGGGAAGACAGGTGTTCAGACACCTACATTGTGGGATGGGCCCAATACAATAAACGTGCTCAGCGACTGCCTACCCAGATTGGGCCCCTCAGGTGAGTTCACACAAAGCAGCAGAAACAGGAACTCCCTTATCACTTTTAGCCCGGTGGCTAGAGAACTCACCTGGGATGTGGGAGACCCTGGTAAGTCCCCCATTCACCTAAGGGGGAGAAGAGATTTGGTCACCTCTCAGGTGCACGCTATGGGATATTCTGACTGGGGCTCCCTCAGTCTCACCTGTTGAAGCTATTGCACTCTGGATAGAGTCGCTACAGCAGGGGGAATGGATCCTGGGTCTCCCACCTCCCAGGTGAGCGCTGTGACCACCAGACTATAGAGTGAGTCAGTCTCTCTCTCTCTCTCGGAGTCAGAGTCATTTGGGGCAAAGAGAGAGCACAAACGTGAGAATGACTCTATAGCCTGGGAGTAAGAACAGTCATCTCGTTTTTTTTTTAAATAGGAAAACAAAGTTTATGGTTCAAATATGCATGTCAGACTCCTACAGCGGTTGTGCAGTCCCTTGCAAGACCTTAAGGAGGCACTTTTATTGCAAGCCACTGTTTCCCTTTCTGAGTCAAGAACTAAATGGCCTTGTGTTGTAGCTGATACACGTGCCTTTAACATGCATCCACAATAAGGAGCATTGTGGGTGTTCATTGGATGCACAGTTCCAGACTGATGGTGCTTTATCCCCACTCCCTTTGAAGACAGCATGATGCATTGTCCTAGTAGGGATTAAGAGAAGTGCTACTTGCATTCAATACTAGATACTGGTAGCACTTCTGTAATAGTACAGACACAAGAACTTCTGCTTGCAATTCATGCTAGAATCATTTAATGTGGAGATTGAGGATGGAAGAGGAAGAGGACACTCAGATACCAAAGTGAGCAGGGTGGTACAAGAATCTATACAGACTAGAATGGAATAGATCACCAAGGGAAAGGACAAGTAAAAGGACAGACATGGCAGTGAGGAGGTGGAAGGATGGCAAAGACATGAGGTACAAAGGAAAATAGTGGGAGAGAAAATAAGAATGGAAATTAAAGGGGGAAAAAAGAGATCAGAGGCAAAATGCAAAGTAAAAACAGGATATGGATCACACCAGAGACAGCACCTCATCTCAGTAACAGCCAAGAAGCAATGCCATCAGAAAGCCAGTTCTGAGGTACTACTAGAAAGTGACCACGGTGCTAGGGAGAGGCAGGATTATGCAAAGGGGAGAAATTGAAGTATGGCCCCCTACTTTATGTCACCATTCCAGTTAACACATTTCTGAAATTGATCAAGCCCCACTGTGTAACTCAAAACATTATCAGGTTATTAAAAGAAACAGCATTAAAGCACTGTTGAGAGGTATATTTTCAACATGGTGAATGGGCATACAGCTGAGTGCTGACTATTAAGAAAGAGAGTCACACAGCTAAATCCTGGAATCCCACTTTAGTGAAAATATACCTCTTGATGTCTGAAATAAAATCATTAAGGCAGAGAATACAGAGTGAAGGGATTAAACTCTGTCCTTGACCCTCCCACAGCCACTGTTTAGAAAAGGGTTCTCAGAGTAGTGAGTAATCTTACCTACCATGGTGCTGCAATACTCGGTCACAGTGGATTGAATGGCAAGCTTGGCTCTAAATTTATGGCTTTCATGAAGTTACATCATCTCTGTTATTCCACTTGGGAGCCCTCCAATATTTGATACATTTAGGACTGTACAGTGAGTTAAGAGTGTGTCCAGGGCATCAAGCCTCTCCTCCAAAGAGGCAACAGAGCATAAAAATTCTGTTGTGCTTCAAGCAGGATGCTGATAAGATAAACTTACTCCATTGCTTCGTGCTGACAAATTCAAATAGATATTCCACTTCCACCACACAGAACCTTGTAAAGACCATGGTATGATAGGCAGTGGGGGTGGGGTGGCTTTAATACTCCATTTCAAAGCAGACTTTTTTAATTTTTGGAGTGTTTAAGGATACTGATCAAAATGAAGACTTGTACCGTACGCACAGGTGAAAGGTATTTGTGGGAAGAAGGAAACAATAAAAACAGTGAAAGGAGAAAGGAATGAGTTAGGAAAGGGGAAAGTATTTACAGATTAAAGTTTAGATGATCATAAAGAAATAGACCATACAATGTCTGTTGCTCCATTAATAGAATAAATGCAAGCAAAACCTATAAGCAAGTACAATTAATCATTGATGAGCTTATCCACTGACAAGTAGTTCAAGACCAGGTCCCAGAAATCCATATTAAAATGTAATGTTTCTCCTGAGCATTGGAGTGTAGGGGGGTGGTGTTCAAATTTTGCAAGGCTCCAATACCCCCAGCTTGAGTGGTGGGGAAGGAAAGAGAGGGCACTTTCTTTATCGGGAAATGTCATTTCAAGAAGATGAAGGAGATTTTTAACACTTATTTGTGTCTGTGTGTTAATTTACTGGCATTTGCTGGACTTAAGAGTTCTGCCTAGAACCAAGTACAGTGCAGCTGGGCGCTATACAAGGTTTCTTCATACTGTTTTGCCAATGCACTTCAATGGTGCCCTGCAAAATTCCTTGTTAATTACAGTTGTGGGCCCCCACAACACTTAGTCAATGCCTCTCAAATCTAACCTTCCTACAACGCTCTCAGTGCACTCAGCCTTGACCTGCAACACTCCTTACTAATCGAGTCCTGGGCCTTTGTTGAGCAATGATTAACACTTGTCCTGCACTGTGGGAAATGGTGTGGTTATCTTATGAAGTATACGCACTGGCAGCCAGAGAAGACTACCAAACTCACTTCATTTGTGCCCCAAGATTGTGTACAAATCTTCAGAGGTAATTCAGCAAATTATGTCAAGCTGGTAACTACTTTATCTGCCAAATATTTCAGGATAGGACAGGAGAGATTAAGTTCTGTTTGAGCATGACACTAAATGAATAGAATTACATAGTGGTTTTGCGGGTGCAGTAGCATGCATGATTTTGCATCTGAAATCATAATGTAATGCAATGCGACAGAATAAACCAACAGTTAGAATGTCAAAAATATGTATAAAGACTGACATTCAGTGGCTCTTTTACTTATAAATAGGGATACGGAAGTTCCATCTCCATATTGTTTAGTACTGGCTTAAAATAGAACTACAAACACACAGACAGCCTGATTCTTATTTATATTAAGGCCCCTTTTCATGAATCTGGCACTGGTAATTTACTCCCACTTCAAGGGCCCTTTACACTGTCAGAACTGTGAATCTGAGAATCAGTCTCTGAAACTCAGTCTCCGAACAACTAATTTAACTATTAAACATTACAGTTCTTTTTCAGGCAGCACTGGCTAGAATCCAGTAGTTGCTGCTAACTTACATTATTCCTGTAACCCCACAAGTTACCAATGAACTTAATTCCTAGCCTGTAACACCTCTTTCTGTTCCATTCCTGAGTCTCCATATGACTACTTCTTTATGCTCCTCACACCTGACCAACATCACACCTGTGTTTTCCATTCCTAAGTTCTCACTCTTGATAGACCCCAGTTCTGACCTTCCTTCTCTTCTGTTCCTGATCTCCCATGCAGCTCTGCCAATGCACTTCATTTCTGATCTGCAACATCCCCTTTTATTCCAGTCCTGGGTTCCCGTGCAACTTTATTAATGAATGCATCTTCACCTGCAACTAACCTTGGATTCTTACATGTGGAAACCATCAATTGTGCTAAAATCCATAAGTGTTCTGAGAGAACAAACATACAAGACCACCAAACTGGTTTTAGTGGTAGTCCAAACTAGCTTGAAAGCAAAAACCAAACGTACTCATTCTCTTCACCTTCTAGTGTATGCTGCCTCTCCCCTAACAGTCATAATAGTTTAGCTGATCCTCATCTAACCCATGCAAACTCTTTTGAGCATGTACATTTTCCCCCCTAGGCCGAGCCCCAGTGGTGTTGAGATACACGAATCACACTGCAAACGCTTTTAGTGCCCCAAGTTTAGTTGAGCAAAATTCATTTTGCAGAATTTGGAGTAAAGACCTAAACTCAGACTTGGCTTTTACTAAATTGAACTTTAACCGATATGAATTTGAAGTTACAGATGAACTAAATATGAACATCAAAGTGCTATCTTTGCAAGGTTGCTTTTCTCCATCACAGGGATTATCAAACACAGCTTCCTAACTGGTCTTCTGTTCCATTTTTTAATCCTTCATCAATATCAATAAAACAGGATCTTACCTTGATCTTCTGAAGAGACGGGTGGCCTGGAAGAAAACAACAAAGATCAGTCAATCTTTTGTGTGATGAAAAGGCTGCAGACAGGGTTCGGTGTCACCCTAGAAAATGGTGCAGGCATGTTGGATATGAGGGAGCTGAGATATTCCAATCCCAGCTTCTCTCAGTAAGAATGTCTGTAAGAGGGGTGACAAGAAGGGAGCTCTCAAACTATTTCAGGAGCAAGCCCTCCCAGCCAGAGCAGTTTTATGGAATAGTACCACAGTGCTGGGCTGGTTGTGAGGCGGCTCATAGCTACTTCAGCGCTTAGCAAGAGTTTCTGTAGGGTCTAACGGTGCTGGAAGCACACACCTACTGCAGTCTCGGGATCTCCAAGCAGGTGTCAGGGTTGGAAATATCTGAGGAATAATGGTCATGGTGAGAAAGTAGTTCTCCAATCCCACCAGGAGTCACTGCAGGGAATTGTGAAGGAGTGCTGGCTGTTTGGAGAGCTCCCCAGGTTGGGTTGCTAGAGGGACTAATGGAAGAGTAATGGCTGCAGAAGAACTCACAGAATGTACAGCCCCAGATTCTCCTAGCAGGGGATAGTGTAAAAGCACTAGCAGTAAGTCACAGAAGATGGGAGCATTTTAACAGGAGCAATGTATATAAGTTTAGATAATAAAGAGCCCATGAAATAGATCTGCTGAAACTTTGGATACAGTTAACTATTGTATAATACAACTCAAGAGCAGGGTTCTGGGGATTGAGGGGATATACAACCACTGACTGAAAGGTTTGAAAACTTTCCAAGAGTGATGAGTATGAAGTGTGGTCAGCTAGTCAGGTCCTCAGCTGGTGTACATAAGGATAGCTTGCCTTACATTAGCAGAACTATCCCAGTGTACACCAGGTGAAGATCTTACCCTCCATCACCTGTGATCAAAAATAAAAAATAGCACACATAAATTAATGTAAAGTACTGTACTTCATTTTTCCCCCAACATATTAGCATGGGAAGCAGGGCTGGGGTTAGCCATGTGCACAAATTTTGGACATGCTTTGGCTATTTAAACTCAGTTTGGCAGCGTACTGTGGGTCAGACCATCACCTGAGCCATTCCCACAAGGTGACTTTAAAGTAAATGCACATTATTGCTGCCAAGATAACACAGGAGTTAACTGCTAGCATGGTAAGGCTTCTATTTTCTTTCTGACATAGTTTAATTTTACACTGATGCACAAACATTACAGATTAGCAAGATTAAACAAATGTCAGCATTGCAGGCAAGGTGATCAAAGCTAGAGTCAAGAAAGCATCTCATGGTATGGGGTGGGGGAACAGAAAACATAACAGGAGCAAAAGGAGTATGTGTGTGGGAGTAACAAGTGAGGATAGAGGGGTTAAAAGCTTTGAATTCAGAGGAATAAAGAAATCGAGGGAGGAGTCACGATCTCCTTCTATAACAGGGGTCTCAGGATGAAGGACTATAGGGCATCAGAGTCAGATTGGCATATATGTAGGCGCAAACATTAAAGATGGAGAGGAAAGGAGGAAACTTCTCTAATGAGGTTTGTATTTTTTTTACTTTTTAAAAAGAAGAGCTTTGCAGGGAAAGAGAGGAAAGAGTTACACTCAATTAGAGAAAATAAAGGAAAAAATCAGATTACCTAATGAAGATTACGACCATGCCAATATCCAGTGTATCTGTATGGATCAGAATTAATCAACCTGCTGTGACTGTTAAACTCTCTGACTGCTACTGAAACATCCTAGCTCTGTCCTCTGCAGCCAAACAGGCCAGGTATATCCTGCCATTCCAATAATTTCCATGCAACATGGCAAGACTGTAGGTAACCCAGAGAATAGCATCCAAAATATTAAACATTTGAACGGCCCCCCCCAGCATTAAGCAGTAATTGTCCCTTTCACAGTATATTCCCTTCTTCCCACATGTCCCCAGTAAGGAATAAAATTCTGCAAACATAGAAGGCTAAGTGATGTAGGATTGCAGATACCAACAGGTGCGATTCCACTCGCCTTTTAGAAAGATACAACCAAGCAAATATTTACAGATAGGACCCTCTCCAGAATTCTCAGCTGTTTTATCTTGACACCTCACCTGCCGAAGTGGTTTCACCCAAACTGAGCCATTTATTCTTTTTGTTTGTTTCTTAGTCACACAAGTTTATCACTTTCCTTATGGAAAGCAACAGTACAAAACAGGACACACTATCCCATAATTCAGTTAGATTACACCTGGGAAGACATATGCTATTTTCTCTAAAGCACCCACAAGTTAAAAAATACAGAAAGCAAGAGAGAATTCACATACACACATACACAGCAGGAGACCACTTTAGCAAGCACAAGACTTGTATTTATCATTTTTAAAAATAATGGTGATGTGTGTGCAGCTCTGAAAAGTGCTTGGAGATCTATGGATGAAAAGCAATATATGACAGACATTATTATTGTTTTCACTTGATGGGCTGCAGAAGGGTTGTTTTTTTGTAGGTGAGGTTGTTTGTTTTTTGTAACGAGTGTGAGGAGTTTGGTCTCTTTTAGCATTGTTTCGTTCCTTGCAGTCTATATAGTGTAAGGCTGGGATTTTCAGCATTGGCCTAACTTTGTCCCACTAAAACCAATGGTGTTTTACCAGTGACTTTACTGGGAGCTGAGTTAGTTCAATACCGATCACTTTGGAAAATCCATCCTAAATTGTTAAATACTTAGTCATTCTCTGCCAGATCTTCTGGTCCAACCAAACTATGCTCATCACAGGACTGGAGAAAGGTGGGAAACAAAAGTGGCCTTAAGCCTAATGGCTGCTTTAAGTTACGCCCAGTTGCCCCAGAGCCAAGAGGGGCTGGGGATCAGACGGATGCAGCCATTTTCTGGCCACACCCCCTGCGCTGCAGACTGGGTAGGGTTGTGACATATAAAATGCGATGGTACTTTGCCACCGAAGGATTCCTCCATGTAGAAGGAATTCTCAGCTGGCTGGATCCACTGGCTATTCAGCTGCTTAGCACCAGCTGACTGATGCAGTGCAGCTGCAGCATGAGCCAGAGTCTATTAAAATAAACAAAACAAGGAGAGCTAAAGAATCAAGCTGCAACTCGTAGAGCCTGGTTGCATTAAAAGGAAAGGAGAGAAGAGAGAAGAATGTCCCTGAGGCAAAGAAGTTAGTTGCCCTACAGCCAGTGACGCTGAGCAAAAGCCTAGGTGTATACAGCTTGCATGAAACAAGATCTTCATGAATTCATTCTTCTGAGCAAGGATAGCTCTACAATACAGGGCAGAGAAGGCAGCTGTCCAGGACAGCAAAACAGAAGAGCAGCAAAATATTTAGTGAATATTTGCTCTGTAACAGAGTTGTTGGTGAGGAGGAGAGATCTCTTCTGGTATGCCTAGGAAAACAAAGACCAGATTGTGTGTGTCTCGACAGGCAAAGCAGGCTTTGCTTCATCCTCCTCTAACAGAACCGTGACCCACAGATCTTGATATTTCCACTGCTCCCTACTTCCCCTCTGTAGTACCAACAAAGTGAGCCTTGATCTTACATTTCTGTCATTGCCTGGCTACCCAAAAGCTGAAAAAGCTGGTGAATTCTGGGAAATTCAACAGAGAATTTGGCCCTTGATTTCCAGCTGGATAGGGATGTAACTGCAGCTTTTCTGAAGGATACAGATCGGGATAAAATGTCAAAGTTCAGCCCCAGAGGGATACCGTGTCGTAACACCACCATTTTAATGGAATATACATATACCAAAAACAATAGGAAGACAATGCCTACAGATGCTTATTTCCAGGATAGCAATAACTAGTGATGCCAACTGTAAGGTAAAGTGCCACCGCCTTGAGAGAGATGCCACTTGGAGAGTCTATTTCCCTAACACCTCTCCCACTCCCTGGCTTGCCACATCCGTGTTTGCGCAGAGCAATGCTCTGATGTGTTAGTTATGGAGGGGACAAAGATGGCTGTGCTAGGGATGTGGGAAGAAGAGAGGTGGTGCTATCATGTAGCCTCCTTTTCTTTCCACATATTGCATTCTCCTTTTAATGGGTCTCTGACAGTTGAGTTCCCCTCTGTACTGCACGGTGCACAGCATGCCCCCAAATGGGTAATTTCACTTGCAATACAAGGGGAACCTGTGAGTTGACTGCACAATTATCCCTTTTGTAAGCACAAGCGCACACTTTGCATGTATATATATTTAAATGTACCCCGTACAATCACTATCACAGCAAGCTAGACAGAGATTTAGCAGTGCATTAAAAAGACCTGAATAATAATCATTTAAAAAAAAACAGTTAGTTATCATAATAGACACCTCCAGGAAATTAAACAGCCTGTGCCATGAGAAGCATGGTGTTCACCTGCCCTCAACATAGCATCAGGGCCCAGGGATTAAGGGTATGATCCAAAGCTCATTGGAGTCTCTCCACTGGGCTTTGGATCAGGCCCTCTCACAGGATTAATCTCCAGTATGGCCAGGGCACCTTCAAGTCATGTAAACATTCCACAATCAGCCAAGCACTTACAGCTGCTATTTCCAAACGCTCTTTTCAATCTGCGGTCGTGAGGTTTACTCCGCATTGGAGGGGTAGGGAAGGGAACATTTATTTGTAAGAAGGGAAAATGGGGAGTGTTGTGATGTAGAGCTCTGTCTACAGGGGCTTGAGAACCTAGAGAAACCCAGCCAGCCTCCGACAGGTAAATTCTAACAAAATTTCAGTAAACAGGTACCTTTTTCTTGAAGACTAAAGCCCCGAGAGAAACAAACACCAAGCTGATGAAAAACAGCTATTTTTATTAATAAACCTGCAACTGAAATCATTTGCACCAGGGCTACTTAAAACAAACTGCTCACAATTTAAAGGCCAAATAGCAATCTGTGTGCAGCACTTACACTGTTTTCCTATGACCTCCCCCCCACACACACTTTTCTCTACTTAAATGATGTAATGCTGTAAACTTACTAACGCACTCTATTTTTTCCAGTAACTAAAGGTAGTGGGCTGCGGGGGGAGGGGAGGGAAGGGA